CTCTCTCTCTCTCTCTCTCTCTTATTGCAAGTTAAAATGTGCCATAACATTGAGAAATGCATGTGAACAGAACCTGCCAAGTTTATTATCTAGCTATAGAAGACTAGCTATGATCTCGCTGGTAAGATTTTATCAAGATTCCGATGTGGGGTTTTATCACAAAAGACCGTAGTATTATTAGTAATGGAAGTACTCATTATATATTGTCAAGGTTCCGATGTGACTTTTTACTGCTGGTTGGGAGCATTTTGATTACCTGATTGAAAATGCTTTGATTTTGGGTTGCAATTGTGGACAATCCGTAGACTCAACTGTAAAACTAGGCAACTATATATGAGATTAAGAACATGTGGTATATTTATTGGGTTATGCATAGTTTATTATTTTCTAACTATTTTACCCTGCCATCACTGCTGGCTGGACTCTGGAACTTAGCAGAATGAAGAAGGAAATGAGGAGGCAACAGAAACAGAGAAGCAGCCAGAACCATCGGAGACTGAAAAGCCTCTGGAGGAACAGAAGGCTGAGCCTGCAGAGATAGCCATTGAAGATGCACCGGAACCAGAGACCAAAACCAAACAACCATCTGAAGAAAAAGTTACAGAAGAAGTGAAGGAAGTTGCTGAAGCAGCAACGGAGGAAGTGAAAGGAACCGTCGCAGAAAATAGTGCAGAAGAAGGTAAAGATGTTGAAGTGAAGGGAGGCGCTGCTGAAGGGCATGCCAAAGTATGATGAAGAGAGTGTCAGCCGTTTGACCGTTTAAGAGGACTTTGTTTTAATGCCGTTTCGTTAATTAATTAATTTTCTCTATCTCTGTTTTTGTTTCTTCATTTGAATTCCCATATTTTTCAACTTTCTCAGTGTCGGGACATACGTCGGACATTTTAGATTGAATATACGAGTATAGATTGTTCCTTTTAGTGCAGAAGGAGGAAATGTTTTGCCAAAAAATGTTATGTTTGTTAGAAAATAAATCTTGATTCTTGAGTTAAAAAATTTAATTTCAAGGCCTAAAC